CGTGTTTCCATAGTGGTTGTACTAATTTATAGTCCCTGCAATAGTGCAGGAGGTTTCCCTTCTCTCCACACCTTCATCAACATTTGTCATTCTCCATATGTTTGATTATAGTCAGTCCGACCAGGGTGAGGTGATATCTCAATGTGGTTTTAATCTGCATTTCCCTGATGATTAGTAGTGTTGAGCATTTTATCTTGTACTTGTTTGCCATTTGTATGTCTTTCTTTGAAAAATATCTATTTGATTAGATAAGGAAAATGTGGCATAAATACACAGTGGAATACTACTCTGCCATAAAAAAGAATGAAATTCTGCNAAAATGTGGCATAAATACACAGTGGAATACTACTCTGCCATAAAAAAGAATGAAATTCTGCTATTTGCATCAACATAGATGAGCCTGGAGAAACTTATGTTGAGTGAAATAAGCCAAGCACAGAGGGATAGAAATACTGCATATCTTCACCCATAAGTGGGAACTAAGAGAGAAAAAAGGAAGGAAAGGCAGACCACAGTGGTGCATTGGACTTGCAGAGGGAGAGAACATACCTAGGGGTACAAAGTGCAGTGGCGAAATGGAGATGGCAGAAGGATGGACGTAGGTGATTAAGAGAATGGGGGACGTGGGGAGTAATCACAATTTGTGGTAATGGGAATAATCACAATTTGTGGTAATGGACATGCTGGTAGTGATGATCAGACCATCACTTATTGTGCACAAGTTGTGATGGTCATCATTGTACCACACGAATATGCATAAAAATTAAAATTAAAATATGTGAAAATAAGTAGAAAAGAGGCTTTCCCAGGAAACAAACTTGGCCCACTCTATACAGAGGGAAGAAAAAATGAACTTTGGGGAGGTCGTGGAGCTGCAGTGTTCTTGTTCTGTTCTGAAGAAAGAAATAGAGTTGGAGGAAAGCCAAGAAAACACTTAAAATTCAATAAAAAATTTTTGCTATTACTCCCCCCAAAAAAGAAATAGAAAAAGAAAAGAAAAATATCTATTTCATTCCTTTGCCCAGTACTTGGATCATTTATTTTTCTTTATTTTGAAATTGTCTCACTTCCTTTTATATACTGTATATTAAACCCTCCTCAAATGTATAGTTTGGAATTATTTTCTCCCATTCCATAGGTTGCCTTTCCACTCTGTTGATTGTTTCATTTTTTGTGCAGAAGAATTTTAGTTTGATATAGTCCCATTTTTTAATATTTTCTTGTGTTGCTTGTGATTTGGGGGTCTTATTCATAAAGTCTTTGCTCCTATTTCCTGAAGTGTTTCTTTTATGTTTTTTAATAATTTTAGGATATTATGTCTAGAAAACTAAAAACTCTAAAAAACACTTAGAACAGATTAACAATTTCAGTAATATTTCAGGATACAAAATCAACATCCCAATATAAGTAGCATTGTTATACTTCAATGAAAACCTAGCAGAAAATGAAGTCAAGAAAATAAGCTCATTTACAATAGACACACACACACACACACACACACACAAATCTGGGAATCAGTATCACCAGAAGTTGAAAGATTGCTATAATATGAACTATAAAACACCACTGATAGAAATTAAAGACACAAAAAGGTGGAAAGACACTCCATGCTCTTGGTAGGAAGAATTAACATTGTGAATATGTCCACACTACTCAAAGCAGTCTGCAGATCCAATGCAATCCACATCCAAATACCAATGACGTTCTCCACAGAAATAGGAAAAGCAAACCTAAAGTTCACGTCGAATAACAAGAGGCCCCAATAGCCAAAGAAATCCCGAGGAAAACATTAATTAATTAATAATGACAAATGCGTAACACAACCCAGCTTCAAAGCTACTGTAAACAAAACAGCATTGTACTGGCATAAAAACATACACTCGAACCACTGGAACAGAATAGAACACCTGGGAAGCATCCCACACACTTACAGCCAACTGATGTTTGACAAAGACCACAAGAACGAACACTGGGGAAAAGACTGCCTCTTCAATAAATGGTGCTGGGAAAACTGGACATCCATATGCAGAAGAATTAATCTGGACTTGTTCATTTATTTTCACTTTATATGAGGGAAGAAATTTAAAAATACTAGATGGTTGTAGTTATTAATATGTAATCTTCACCTCAATTTTACTCAATTTAATGAGAAAAAATAATAAAACTGTTGGAAACATGAAGTTGGCATTAAAGTGTCAGAGATAATGTCCATTTCTGAGGCAATGGACTTGGAAAATTGAATTCAAAGATCAGAGAAGTGGAGTGTGTGAGACTCTGTATGTGATGGTGCAGGGTGAAGTCACTGAGCCTGGCCCCAGACAAAGCAGTGACACTCTGGGAACATTCAACATTAGACCTTTAGATGAAGCTTTTATCCCATTTCAATGTGAGGTCGCAGGAAAGATAACAGCCACTAGCTGGGGTCCAGGAATGGGTTCATCTGTACCCAGGAACTTTGCAAGGCCAGATCCATTGGGGAAGGGTCACTAACTATTAGCAAGTAGGACTCCAGGCACCAAACATGAGAGGGCAGCTCAGCCATCCAGGTGCAGGGGTCCTCTAGGGCATCGGGTTATTCATACCTGACCCGGACCAGCGGGTGTGGACCAGCGGGTGTTAAGGAGCCGGACACACATGAAAATCACTGGGCCCCACAGAGTAGAAAGCTCAGGTTCCCTCTCAACACATTCATCACGGGCACTGTCCCATTGGTCACACAGAACCAATGACCCAGAATTCCACTCATCATGGAGTGGGGCTGGAGGCTTCTCTTTTTGCCGGCAGCTGCCTCAGGTAAGGAGCCCCTGTCATCCGGGGCTGAGGAGGTTTCTGAGGCCACTGCAGGGTCCCCATCTTCCCTGTGTCTTCTCCACAAGTGCCCACTCCCAGGTCCAGCTGGTGCAGTCTGGGGCTGAGGTGAAGAAGCCTGGAGAGTCTGTGAAGGTCTCCTGCAAGGCTTCTGGATACACCTTTACCAGCTATGGCGTGACCTGGGTGCGACAGGAACCAAGGAAGGGCCTTCAGTTGATGTGTTGGATTAACACAGACACTGGAAAGCCAACATACGCTGAGGGATTCACAGGACGATTTGTCTTCTCCACGGACACCTCTGTCAGCACAGCGTATCTACAGATCAGCAGCCTGAAGACAGAGGACACGGCCGTGTATTACTGTGCGAGAGACACAGTGTGAGGAAGTCAGTGTGAGCCCAGACACAAACCTCCCTGCAGGGACGCACAGGAC